AAATGGAAAACTAGAGCATCAACTTGTCATGGTGGGCACATTTACAAATGCAAACTAGATAGGAAAAAGATGTTAAACTGTATGGATTTTATAAAGAACAAACGGCATTTGATAAGACTTTGTTAACTTCAGATGAGAAATTAATTAAGAAAATGTATAATTTTTTATTAACTTTGGAAATGGAAAGCGAACAAGTTAAAGAAACAATGATAAGATGTGCGAAATTTTTGGATATAATATAGAATTAGAAAAATGGCAAAATTTATGGGAAAGAAATTATAAACTGACAATGTCAACTTCTTATAAAGAAAATTCATATAAAATGTTTTATAGATGGCACTTGCCACCAGCAAGATTAGCAAAAATGTTTAAAAATATGTCAGCTAGATGTTGGAAATGTAAACATAAGTCAGGCACGTATTATCATGTTTGGTGGGCATGTAATAAAGTAAAGAATTATTGGAAAAAGATACATACTTGGTTAGAAAAGATGTTGGGAGAACATGTAGATTTTAAACCTGAACTTTTTTTATTAGGTATAATGCCAGAAAAGACTAACAAACAAAGCTTATATTTGATTTTGCACGTCACAACAGCGACAAGAATAATATTTGCGCACTGTTGAAAAATGAAGGAATACCATCAGATGAAAAAATAATTTAAAAAATACTAGAATGCGCAGAGATGGACAGATTGACTATGAGACTGAAAGAAAAAGAAGAAACAGAATATTATCAAACTTGGGACTTATTTTACCAATGGCTAAAGGAAAGAATAAAGGATTAGGAATTAAATATGTATTAGCGAATCTAAACTCAGACAACACAGTAGTTGAAAAATTATTATTGTATGTATGGAAAAAAGTAATAAAATCTTATATATATAAAAAAGAATTAAACCTTGAGAAAGATAGAATCATTGGGGGGGGAGGAATAAATCAGAAAATACAAAGACCTTCAAACAGAAATAGAATAACCTTGGCAAAAGAAAGCAAAGGTAGTCATAGGGCTTTGAGTACAATCCTAAAACAACGGGGGCACCATTTGAATATTGCCATTAACAAAATCTCCATCACTCAATTGTAAAAGGCAGCTTTACTTAGTGCAGTTTACATCCAGTAACAATACTTTTAATACATCAAATATCAACATCTCACTTTCCTAGGCCCTGGGGGAGGACTTGACAGGGGTATAAAAATGCCCAAACCTGTCTAAACATCTGACTGACTATGCAATAAACCATAACAATAATTAACAATTATCACTAAGAAAGACAAAGAAAAAAGTCTGGATAATACAGGTGAGACTCGAAAAATTAGAATATCGTGCAAAAGTTCATTTATTTCAGTAATGCAACTTAAAAGGTGAACCTAATATATGAGATAGACTCATTACATGCAAAGCAAGATAGTTCAAGCCGTGATGTGTCATAACTCTGATGATTATGGCTTACAGCTCATGAAAACCCCAAATCCACAATCTCAGAAAATTAGAATATTACATG